TTGCTTTCTCGCTTTCTCTTTCTCTCTGTCTCTCTCTGGTGACTGCCTATATCAAATTAAAAAATAATAAAGATGATAAATAAAATTGAATACATAATTTTAAAAAGAACAAGTGAATCTTATTTAAACTGGTTGGGAAGTCACTAAGACACTTTAATTCAAAAGCAAAAAAAAATTGTGTTTTGTTTCTTTGGTCCAATTCTCTCATCTGGATACAGATACCCAGATACACAGTGACAACTCCATCCACACATCTCCTTCTGGATGTTATTCAAATGGCCAATTTCAAAATAATCAACATGAAATCTGCAATCCCCCATACTCTCCACTAACTTGCACCCCTGATCTGGCATTTTCTTCTTGTATGTTCCCAGTATCAAGTTCTAACACCAATTGGCAATCTTCCTTGTCTTGACTCTTCCCTCTCCCTTCATCTTCCCATACTATCACGTCATTAGATCTACTGTCCCTGCCACTGCCTTATTTCTGGTCATTATCATCTGGTGTGAACAGCCCTAAAAGTATCCTGACAGAACTCTCTCATTCTTGCCTAGGTTAAATCCATGCCTCAAAATGCCATGAGCTAGATTTCTATAAAGCAAAAATTCCATTCATTCATTCTCTTGCTTAGTATCATTTATTACTTCTCCCCACTGCCTTCAAGTTAAAAATAAAATACCTAGCATGGCATACAAGGCCCTCTGTGATCTGGAATGCTCGACTCTCATGGAGCCTCGCTGTCTTACAACTCTCCAAAAGATTAGCTTTTCTCTTGCCAAAAGCTTTTGCAGAGGTATAGGGCCTAACAGCCTTGCAGCAAGGCAAGGAAACACAAATACAGAATACAAACGATCATCTATCCCTACCAGAAATTGCATGTATCATAGCATACTCCCAGATATTAATCTTCATCTTCCATTTGGCTTCCAAACTATCCTTTATCAAAATTTACCCCAAATTCACCTAAAACTGAATGTAAAATAAGCTTCTTTATCTTCATGAAATACTCCACGGTCCTGCATCTGGTTGTCACAAGGTATGAAGTAAGTATAAACTAAATGTGTCAACCCAGCAGGTCCACATACATGCCTTGTGCTGGAGCCCAGGTACGCCACAGTCCTTAGTCCATCTCTGTAACACACACACAGACTGCCCACCACTGTCGCTACCACTCCACCAGAGAATTTACTTTATGATTTCATGTGCTTTTGCACACTTAATTTCTTCAACAATCAGCCTTCCAATTCCAAAAACGTTTCCATGATAGATATCTGTTCACTTATAGAAAAGGAAAATCATTAACACACAGGTCCATGGAAAATTACAGTTCTTTTGCCTGAGTAATACTCAGCCAAAGGTACTAAGTCTTTAGCAAGCATCTCCCTATAAGGTGCCAAAAATAAGATAATGGAATATGTTTTTAAGAAAATGTTGCAAAATTGGGACCAGCAGTTAGCGTAATGGCTATGTCGCTGGACTACCACGTAGTCGACTGAGGTTCGCATCCCAGACGCAGTGGCTTAAAACTAACACCAGGTACGTGTGCATGTGTGCCCAAGATTCCGAGAGGAGAATGGAGGAGAAGGGACTGCGGTGTGGCCATCCCCCCTGGGGGGTGATTTGTCGCTTTCTGTCTCTCTGTCTCTCTCTGTCTGTCTGGCAAGCACACACGCCCTATAGCAAAAACCTCTCCAAAAATAATAAATAAACAAAAATTTAAAAAGAAAATGTAACAAAATGGTTAAAATTAATAAAGGAACAAGAGTTGGATATATCATGCAAATTACCATAACATGAACCATCCTAAACATAAACAAATTCACATGTTCACCTTTAGATAAGCACAGAAATTTTTAGTAGGCTCTTAGCAAATACCAATTTAATACTTTAGATGAACCAAAAGACCCTTTGAGCCACCTTAAATTATTTATTTTTGAGCAACTACTCTCCATGTTACAGGGTATTTCAGTATTTTGGTCAGCAACCATTCTTGATATTACGTGTCATGTGACAAGGAATCCTGAACTGACTTGTCCCTGAAAGATTTTAAACATTTTCATGTATTTCTCCCACAGGTCAACTGTTCATTAAATACTAAGAAGAGTTTTGCTATAGTAAGACTATATCCTGGGATTAAACGTTTCACTGAGCTCTCTAACAGGCCTGGGTTTCTCTGGTGCCCATTATCAAGGTTCACTGCAAGTCTATCATGCTCAGTTCCTGGGTATCTGCTAAATTTAACACCATTGTTGAAATTAGTATCTGTGAGCATTAATAGGTCAGGCTTATAGTTGTTTAATTTATAAGCAACTATTTATATATTTATATTTACATATTTATATTTTTATTCACACACACACACCTATATATGTGTGTGTATATATATAGGTGTGTGTGTGTGTGTGTGTGTGTGTGTGTGTGTGTGTGTGTGTATGTATCCTAGGATTTACTCACATGGAGTCCTTTATAACCTTCTAAATTCCAGATGATCACTAAATATTTGTCATCAGAAAAGTCATGATGTATTTTTCTATGTAAAATGGTTAAAATTAATAAAGGAACAAGAGTTGGATATATCATGCAAATTACCATAACATGAACCATCCTAAACATAAACAAATTCACATGTTCACCTTTAGATAAGCACAGAAATTTTTAGTAGGCTCTTAGCAAATACCAATTTAATACTTTAGATGAACCAAAAGACCCTTTGAGCCACCTTAAATTATTTATTTTTGAGCAACTACTCTCCATGTTACAGGGTATTTCAGTATTTTGGTCAGCAACCATTCTTGATATTACGTGTCATGTGACAAGGAATCCTGAACTGACTTGTCCCTGAAAGATTTTAAACATTTTCATGTATTTCTCCCACAGGTCAACTGTTCATTAAATACTAAGAAGAGTTTTGCTATAGTAAGACTATATCCTGGGATTAAACGTTTCACTGAGCTCTCTAACAGGCCTGGGTTTCTCTGGTGCCCATTATCAAGGTTCACTGCAAGTCTATCATGCTCAGTTCCTGGGTATCTGCTAAATTTAACACCATTGTTGAAATTAGTATCTGTGAGCATTAATAGGTCAGGCTTATAGTTGTTTAATTTATAAGCAACTATTTATATATTTATATTTACATATTTATATTTTTATTCACACACACACACCTATATATGTGTGTGTATATATATAGGTGTGTGTGTGTGTGTGTGTGTGTGTGTGTATGTATCCTAGGATTTACTCACATGGAGTCCTTTATAACCTTCTAAATTCCAGATGATCACTAAATATTTGTCATCAGAAAAGTCATGATGTATTTTTCTATGTTTTTCTACACAAAAATGCATCATGACTTCTCTGTCAACCCAGTATTTTATCAATTAACTTCTATGGTAAGTTCGTGAGACTTCGGAGTGTGAGACAAAAGAACAAATTTATCTTTGATACTGGTCATGCTCAATACAAAGTCATAAGCCTATTGTGCCGTGAGTAAGAAGAAGTAATGTAAGTAAACAAAGATTTTTCATTAAATTTCTATTAAGAACTCAACAATAAAGCACCATAAGAGGGTTTATGCATGGAAACAAGTTACAAATAAGTCTACTCAAAAAAATGTCCTTTGTAAAAAATTTTGTACTTTTTTTTAATGATAGATGTGCATGCATATAAGAGCTGGGCACCCTCAACAGGGTCACCCCACAACCCCCTTTCCCCAGCCCTCCGGCTCCTCTGGATCCTGGGCACTCATGTATCTGGTGTTCTCTCAGGCTGACCCAGGGATCTGAACCCACAGGCAGCCACACGGTTTCCAGCCTTGCAGGGCATTTGCATTCCCACTGTGCCACAGCGGCTGAGCAAAAATTTTTATAACTTTAATAAAAATAATTTTAAACTTAAGAGAAAATTTGTAAGAATCAGAGTACTTTAAAGAAGGCCGCTATATAACCCTCTATCCAGACCCACATATTTTTTGACATTTTACAAAATGGTCTATTTGATGTTTCAAGAGAAAAGAGTTTCTAAGGACAGATTTTGAAAAGGTCATCAATACTGAAGTTCAAAACGATGAAGTCAGGGTGCAAGGGTAGCCGTCAGTAAGTACTTAGGATTTGCACACAGAACAGTGCACAGGCAATCATATGGAAGAATAAAATCTCTGTCCTTGAAGAGCCATGTGATCAACTGGGACAGGTGGAGACATGCATCAAATGATAATAGACTATGTGTTCATAAGCAGATCAGATATAATAATTGTCCAACTGATGTGAGAATGACATGGCATAAAGAAGTAACCAAGTGTAAAATGGTGGCAGACACAGACTTCCTCAATGAAACAGGTTCTGAGCTAAGTTCGAAGTGAGAAGACCCATGTCATTGGTGATAATAGGTCGATCTTGGCAGAGAGCATGGGAGGTTGAAGGCCACTGACACAGTAGTACTGAGAGACAGAAAACAAATTCTGACATTCTTCATAAGATTGCTCTTAATTTCTTCTGCACACTTTGTGCAGAAGAAAAATTAGAACATCTGACTGCATAAACACACACAGTTATCAAGCTAAAGACATAAAAGTAATACCTTCAAGCCTAATATTCTTGGTTGTAAACTAAGCTACAGAGCTTTTGCAGCTTTTATATTAGGTATTTATAATAAATGGGAAAAAAACAACTTCATATTAAGGAAAAATGCCCTTATAATTTAGGATTCAATAAAGCTAACCGTAATAAGCCTTAAAATGACAGAAAACAGAATAGCTTATGAGCCTCTAACTCTAAATAAACAATTATTACTTCCATAAAACAAGGGGTTTTTTATTCTCCAATATTAAGTAAAAGTATTTTATAGATCTTATTTCCAGAAACCAATTATTCACGGGGGAGCATGGCTTTCATAACAGAATAAGGTAACAACCTCACCTTTTAGCAGCAATAAATTTGCATGAAGATGGATCAAAAGAGCATGGCACAAATACAAATCCTGGGTGTAGTTTTTCATGCACTTACCTGCATCTGCTGCTTGAGTTCCCTGGCCAGGATACTGTCCTGAAGAGCATTCTCTCGCTGGGAGGCATCCGCAAGCACATTCACGGTGGTTTCTGCTTCTTGGACCCACTTTAGGAAGTTCTCCAGGTCTCTGCGAGAGGCCTGCACCATCCTCAGCTCAGCCTCCAAGGCGCTCTGTCTGTCAGCAATACTGAAAGCAACAACGTGACAGGCACAGCTCCATTACTTACAGTGTGACATTCCACATCATGCACACCTTAAGCAAAAAATTAACAGACAGCCTGGACAGAACTTTCATTTAAGTCACCAAATGTAACTGGGAGGTGTGTTTCTATGTGTTCCTTAAATAATCCTCAATACAGGAGTCATGAGAATATGAGAAGAGAAAGACGTATAAATGCTAACAAAATCACATCCATATCATGAAATAATTCTGACTGCATTTAACATCTCATAATTATATGTTGTCAGTCTCTCATCTGTCAGTACCTTAGTATATTTCCTGATACTCAAAAGGTAGTATCAATAATAGTCATATATTCAGTGACTCAATGAATTCTAAGGAAAAGTAAAATCTGAAGAAACATTTAAGATAAAATAAAAATAACTTAAAGGGTCTACTTTATGATTTTTAAGTAATTCAGATCAATACAAGTTGACACTCTAATCTAATGTAGTGTTATTTGGAGGATATTGTACACTTAAGCTTTTGTAAACCCTACAATAAATATACATCAAAATTAAAATATAAGGCCGGGTGCGTGTGTGTGCGTGCTCAAGATCCCGAGAGGAGAATGGAGGAGAAGGGATTGTGGCGTGGCCATCACCCCTGGGGGGTGATTTCTCGCTTTCTGTCTGTCTTTGTCTGTCTGGCGGGTGCATGCGCCCTAAAGCAAAAAAACAAAACCAAAAACAAACAAACAAACAAACAAAAAACCTCTCCAAAAAAAAAAAAATTAAAATATAAGGGGCCGGACACTGATACAGTGGTAAAGTACAATACTCTGCAAGGCAGATCCATAGGAGGAGGTTGACAGTTTACATCTAGAGACCTTTATGGGTATACCGGGTGTACACATGCCCATAATACAGGGCTGCCTGAGGCTGGAGATGAGTCACGGCATTGACAGTCTGTCAAGGATGAGCTCTCTCTCTCTCTCTCTCTCTCTCTCTCTCTCTCTCTCATTCATGGAGAAATAAACAAACTGTAAAAAAATTAAACATAAAACTATCCTATGCCTAAAGTTATCTTAGTTAAAAGATAGTTCAACATTTGAAACTATATACCTCAGAGATCTAATAAAACAAACAATTCAAATTTTAAAAGTTTGGACAAACAATTTCATTCCTGAATATTAAAACCCAAAACAACTGAAAATAAATGTTCACATAAGAACTCATATACAAATATTTACAACAGCAATATTTATAATTGGCAAATAGTGGAATCAACCTAAATGCAGAAGAACTGATAAAGTATAGCATATGCATACATAGAATAGTATTCAGCCATGAAAAGGAAAGTGGTTCTGATACAATACTACAATATAGATGAACCTTGAAAACATGTAGAGTTAAAGAAGTCAGATACAAAAGGACACATATCGTGGAATTCCATTTATGTAAAATACCCCAAAGAAGAGAATTGACAGAATGAGAAAGGAGAGGGACCAGTAGATGGCATAATGGTTACATCATTAGACTCTCACATAGTCAACCATAGTTTGAATCCTGGATTGAATGGCTTAAAACATGCCAGGTGCATGTGTGTGTGTGTGTATGTGCCTAAAATCCCAAGAGAATGGAAGAGAAGGGATTGCCCTGTGGCCATCCCCCTGGGGGATATCTCAAAAAAAATTTAAAAAGAATGAGAAAGTAGATTAATTTAGCCTAGGACTAAAGAGGGTGGGGAACAATGGAGTCTGGTTTACTAATAGGTATGGAGTTTCCTTTTGGAGTAATAAATTTTCTGACATTTAGAGTGGTGATGGTTACACAATATAGTGAACATGCTAAAAACCACTGAGTTGTACATTTTAAATGGGTGAATTACATGGTATATGAATTATATTACAGTAACAAGTTAGCACATCTAACATGATCTCATACATATTTTGGCTGCACCTCCAGCCATTAATCATTTCTCTCTCTCTTTTTTTTTTCTTTTAAGCTTTTTGCTATAAGGTATGTATGCTCACCAGAGATAGACAGAGAGAGGGAAAGGATAAATCACGCCTTGGAGGGATGGCCATGTTTCTAGACTTTCTCCTCTATTCTCCTCCCAGTATTCTGGACATGTATACACACACACACACACACACACACACACACACACACACATACACAGTGTGATTTTCAAGCCACCAGGTCCAGGACTTGAATCACAATCAGCCATATGGAAGTCCAGTGCCTTAACCACTCCACCACCTGCTGGTCCCACATCAGCCCTATTTTTGCTTTCTTGCATTTTTAGAATTTATTATGAACAAGTGTCTTTTATTATATAGCAATAAATATATATTTTTAAATGGATAAAAGAGTTATATAGCTATATCGCCATAGAAGACATATGAATGGCAAATAAGAAATGTAAGGTCAAACCATAAAGGTATTAAAAAAGTGGCTATACCAAGTGCTGGTGGGAATGTGGAGAAGTGCATGGAAGGCTAAGCGTATAACAATGGTACAGTCATTTTGAAGAGCAGTAGTTTGATAGAAAGCCAACTATGCACTTCTGAACCAAAACAGCAACCCCACCCCCAGGTATTTACTCATAAGAAATGAAAATGATATGTTCATAGGAAACCTGTATGTAAATGTTTATAGCCACTTTATTTGTAATGGCCACAACTGGTGGGGGGAGGGGGTGGGGGGAGTAACAACTGGTAAACAGATAAAGTATGGCTCATGCATACAATGGAATACTTCTCCACAGTAAAAATAAACCAACTGCTGCTACATGCAGCAACACGGATGGAATGTCAAGTGTATTCTGGTAAGTGAAAGAAGGTAGATACAAAAGACCACATGCTACAGTCTCAAACAGTCTTGATTTACATAAATACCTCCCAAAGTATGTGCCTACAGAATAAACTCAGATGGCCTTGCCTAGAACTTAATGTCTTCCATAAATGATCATCAATTCACTTTTCCAACTTTATCCCCTCATTTTCTTAATACTCTGTTCAGGTCAAAGTGGCATGTTCCTTTTTCTCTAGAATATTTTTTTTTTTAGTATTGTGTCCATAGAAAAATATTATGCCTTCCAAAATGTTTGCCAGCCACTTCCACTTGTCAAAATCCTACCAATCATTTAAGGGATAAAGACCATGTTTTCTAGAACATTCCATCTCAATTAGATTTCCGTGCTCTTTGTTCATAAGAGCTAACATTCTTCTTTACCAAAAGAAAAGCACACGCATCCAGGAAAAGTGTTTGAATTATGACCTTGTTTCACTCTAGAATTTTACTTTAACTCTATCATATAGCTTTCTTGTCTGTCTACTTATTCTATAAATTCTCTTTGGGCAGAAATGTTTTTTATAACTCTCTTTGCCCAGAGAATTTATTACAGTATTAATAAGTATTTATAAAATAATGACTATCTATAATAATGCCTTTTGAATTGGCTCCCACACTCAATTTTCTTTTTTTCTTTTTTTTTCTTTTTTTTTGAGAGTCTTTTGCTATAGGGCATGTGTGCTTGCCAGAAAGACAGAGAGAGACAGAGAGACAGAAAGTGAGAAATCACCCCCCAGGGGAGATGGCCACACCGCAATCCCGTCTCTTCCCGTAATCTTGGACACACATGCGCACATAGCTGGCATGAGTTTAAGTCACCAGGTCCGGGACTTGAACCACAGTTGACTATGGGAATCCAGCAATGTAGCCATTACACCATCTGCTGGTCCCATCACACACAACGTTCAAGAACCTCCTGGAAGATGTCCTCTACAAAAATAAAAAAAATAAATAAAAATAAAAAAAGTAAAGAGAAGATCTGAAAAGCAAAAAACAAAGGAGAGCCAACACAAGGGCAAAGAAAAAGAGCCCTCATGCAAATCACAGAAAAGAGGGTGTGGATTCACCCTAGCTCAGAAGAGGGCTGCTGTCATCATTGCAATCACTCTATATTCTTGTTTTAACTTGGCAAAACTTAAAAAGAACACAGTCAATAACACAAGAAAATAACCCAAAAGAGAAAATCAAAACAAACAAAAAAGCACATGGGATTTAAGAAATCAGGATACCAAACAAGGATAAAAGCTAACACCCAGGATAAGAGCTGTGCAGCAGGCCTAGAAAGCATGTCTCCTGAAGAATGTCTCCAAGAAAAAATATTAGAAGTGATAGACTGCTTAATGTGATTGACTTTGTGGAAAATTATACTGTCAGGCCATCGGAAAATGTGGGAGGAATGAATAAAAGGTGCAAATGAAACTAGGCATATAAAAACAAGACAATTATTAATTTCAGATAGACAGAGAGGAAACAAAATTTAGTAAGCTTCAATGCTTGGCTTTAATAATGTTTGTACAAGAATAATAATATTAACACTGAATATTTATCTAAAAATTCAATACAGAACAAGGGAAGAGACTATTGGCATAAGAAAACTATTTCCTATATACATATTGGGCCTTTGGAAAAGTCATGACATATTTTTCTATGTTTTTCTATGCAAAAATGCATCATGGCTTTTCCCATGACCCAATAGTTAACAAATGTATGCCAGTAGACAATGACTAATACTCAAAAATTGAAAAATAATGGCATACGCATTTTATTTAGAATAGGAAACTGTGCAATTAACATAAGGAGAAGCTATGAAGAAGATTGTGATGAGTACAGAGAGAACAGCTATATTTTGTTATAAACTTTTTAATGTTTTTTAAAAACATTTTTGGTAATTACACGCATATGTTTCTTTAATTTTTGAAATTTAGATGCTAACTAGCAAAATTGGACTGGTTGTGGTTAGTGTTATTTCATACTCCTTGAACCCTACTCATATTTTAAAATTTCAAAACAGTAACAGAAAAAAAAATCAAGAAAAATAAAATGGGTCCAGTCACAGTGGCTTCGGGTAGGGCACCACGATACTGGAGCCTTATGGGAGGCCTCAGGTTTGGATCCTGGGTTGACCTGAACACCTCAGACACACACATGGGTTGGCTGAGAGGCTGGCAG